GAAAATGAAAAGCGTAAACCCAAATTACCCGGAAATGGTGCATTTTTATTAAAGTGTATTTTGTCAGGTCAAAGCTTCTAGATCGCTTTGAAAATTTAAATATAAGTAGTACAGACTTTGATGAAATAAAACGTATGAAATGTGGGGACTTATCCATAATAATTTTTTTTTTTTCAAAATGATTAGGGCGATAAATTAACTACAATATATTACATCACAATTAATGAAAAAAAAAATGCGAACAGTCAAATTAATGAAATGCTTTTTATTATAAAATGAGCATCTAAAAATTATATTCCAATCCCCATTTTGATAACAACGACCAACTTGAGATGTTCTGCTAACATCACTCAACTTACCAAATTTTTGATAATTAATGAGTGCCTTATATTTATCCTTTTCAATTCCTATTCCATCACGATAACAATCTGCAGGGTTATTTATTGCAGAAATATTTGCCATCCCTGCAGATTTTTAATGCCTTTTTTATTTTTTATGGAACTCTAAAAAACAATTTTGAGAGTTATTACAACAGAGTGGTACGTCACATATGGTATACCCAAGGTTACTTCGATGTGGAGTTTTACGATTCAAATCCAAGTTTTTCTTACTTGCCAACCACGCACACCATTGGCACGATTCTCGCTTTCGCCACTCAACTAAATGGTTACCAGGAGCAAACCGTCAGTTTGAAAGTTCGAAGTGTTTCGTCACTTTCGGCCGTTTGGTTTCTTTTTTCATTTCTTTATTTGTTTCTTTTCTTTTTTTTTTTTTTGACCCACCTCTAAGCTGAATTTCCTCTTCACCACTTACATTATTTATGAGATCCCACACCAGTTCAAGACGAAAGTCCTTATGCTTCTAAGTAGATCCTAGGATTCGGGTGATACGATATAAGTTGACGATAGCAGTATCCAACAACCAAAAAAAAAGTGGCATCCAGTTTCTTTGTACCACTTGTTGCATACAGTAATATGACCGTAGTTGATCCGCAACATCTACACCATTCATGTGATGGTTGTAATCGTCTATTATCCTGGGAATTTTCAGCTTTTTTTTTGGTTGAGACCCAAACACCGCACGCACTTTTATTGCATTGGTGCTTGTTTCTCTTGGCCGCCATCTTTCACGTTCAACTTCCCAATGTTCACCAACAAGACCATGAATTGTTGACAGCATTGTGACTGGACTATTGTCCTGCCAAAACACAGCCAACACTCCATTTACTACAACACCGGAACGTACATCCCAGTCAAGTCGAAGTTTCTTATCCATCTTCAGTTCCTTAGGGAACCCGGATGCTGTTGTTCGAACAGTACTGCAAGCGCCAATGCCAACTTGCTGAAGATTCTGGAAAAAAGGAATGTTAGAAAAGTAGTTATCCATATAAATATTAAATAGGAATCGACGATACGGAAGTTGCATGACAAGATGATGGACCATGCAACTAGTTTGGTTGAGCCCTTTCACTTTTTTTACATCACTTGGGGAGACACGCGACGTAGGCAAAAAAGTGAATGTATATCCGGAATCACAAAGCGACAACACCTTAAACCCCTCTGGGGTTGGTTTGTTCTTAATTCGAATGATGTGGATGCTTTTGCCGGAAAACCTTATCATCATTTCGTCAACCGAGACGTTTGAGGCTGGTGTGTAAAGTTGTTTAGAAACGTCTTGGATGTGGGAAAGCAGTGGCTCTAATTTTTCAAAGTAAGGATTAATATCTGCCGCAGGGGAAGAGATATGAAGGTACCTTTTGATTTGTTCAAAACGTTTTAGCGACATTTGTTTAGAAATATTGTGAATGGGGAGCTTCGGGTCCTCATTCCAGTAATTATCAAGCGAAGACAGCCCAAAAACCCCCTGGTAAATGACAAGGGCAATCCAGGTAAGGAGCTTCTTACGATCTACATTTTTTCACTGTCTTCCAGCAAGGCCAGCGCCTTTGATTAATGCATATGAATTCGTATTGAGGACAATTTTGTCCAGTAAAATGTTCGTAAAAAAAAGAAAAAAAAGGTTGATCGGTTTTGAGAAACCGACTTCATAATTTGGTGGCAAATTAATAAATGCCTGGTGTAAATTTTTTGAATGAACCAATGGTTCAAAATCTGAAGGTGGTGGTGGCAAGTTAGGTACATTTTTTGATTGTTTGCGGCCCTTCTTACTACTGCTTTCAACAGCCTTGTCTTCTTCTTCATCGTCTGACCCCGGGTGGTTTGAAAAACATTGTCGGGACGTCAGAACCAGTATGTACTCTTCGTCCTCACTGTCAGAAAATACCTCAGTATCTTCTTCAGGTGGGGTAAATACGAGGATGAACTCGCCTTTGGCATAGTTGTAAATTTTTTTTTGATTTTAATTGATAGCGATCAAAAGATAATCGCTGCACTACTAACATGTAATTATGATATCATGTACTACCATAACGTGATATGAAATCACGAATTGATCTGCAAAATGGCAAACTTTAATTCGAGCTTAGAAAAGAGGGTACAATTGCTTAGAAAAATCAAGCACAATCGCACAAAATCAAAAAAAAAAGATTTTAGCGGCCAAATTTGGCCGCTAGACGGTTTAAGGGATAGGGAATCTGCATACACCCCAATCATATTAACAAGTTATTGCAATGATAACTCTAATCAATGACCGAATTCAGTTTAGATCACTCTGGGATTCAAATAAATTATGCATGAGAATTTCAATGATCTTCCTTTTATAGTGGTAAAATGGAGGATAAATTGGGGTTGCCCATCTTACAAATAAATTATGCATAATCCAGGGTCATGTTTTACATATCAAATTTTATTTTTAACACTAATAATTGGTATATATATCAATATTATTTAATTATTTATATGTAGATTCTTATCACATTCACACCGCTTATATATTCCCTCTGCTACTTTTTTACATGTTTTGCAATATAGGTGTGAATGGTGATTGCATTCGTCACAGACCTTACATTCATGCTTCCAACCTCTAAAGATGTGCCACTTTTTGAAGCAATTTTGTTTGTTTTTATTTATAAGTATACTATATTCTCCCATCTTTTACAAAGTAAAAGGAAAAAATATAATGTGGCTAATTTTTTTATTATACGTACAAACCTATAATATGTGGCATCATATGCTTGTGCCCCGTCTCACAGATAAATTTTACATAGACAAATTATGTACGTATGTACGTACAACGATAACAATAAATTTTGTTAATCATCATCGCTAATTCAGATTTATTTTTATTAATCATTTGAGAATTATTGTTAAAATATATATGTATATTTTTCACCCATATATATTAGCAGAAAAAAAATAATATACTGGTACGTATATACATGTTCTAATTTTTTATACATACAAACCTGTAATGGGTGGTATTTATGTTTGTAATCATTTACAGCATAGGTAAAAACTCTCGTGTATGGAATTTCAACATCTGTTATTATTTATAAGATATACAAATAAATATTCTGTAACTCAAATTATAATAATTATTTTTAATTTGTTTGACATTAAGTGTGAACTCGAGTTCACAGGTGCAGTAATCATGTGATACCAAAACACTTATTGATTAGAACGAATTACCCTGGCTATTACATATTCAATCTCTTCCCAACTTAATTTTAATATAGATGATGCTGAAAATATTTTAATACAAACTATCATTTCTTTTCCTCTATCTTTAAAAATACTATTAAAAAGAGCATATATTTTTCGCGCCTTTTCGGTTCTTTTACGAAGAGTATCATTAGAAATTTTTTTACCAATTTGTTCCCGAACCTCTTCATTAACTAATGCTTGGGATGCTAAGTCTCCATGTTTCAAATTTTTATAATAATTTATGCACATTGATAAACTATCCCCAAAGGAATAATAACACTGAATGAGTTCCTGATTTGTGCTTTCATTTTTGGATTCTACGTGGGTAATATTATCATTGAGCTGTAAAAAATTCGTAGCATTTTTATTATATGTTACATTAACTTTTGAGATTTCAGAAACATCAGTAGTCAATTCGCTTATAAGTTTTTTTTAATGTAGGTGAATCTTCTTTTTTAATCTGCTTTCTTGCTTTCTTACTTGATGACTTATTTGTAGTACCACTAACACGCTTTTTCTGTGTTCCACTCTCAAATAATATTGGATTATTATCGTGACTACCTTCTGTCTCATGAAGTGAGGGTCTTTCTGACCTAATAATGGTGATACAGCCATTGGAGAACCTAATCTAAGGTCATTGCCTAACCTTTCTGCAAGAGCAGAAGTTCCACTAGACTGAGATGATGATTCAGAAAACCTTCTTTTGGATACTACTGGATCAATGATTTTATTACAATCGGATAAAGGGCATTTGTTTTCTGTTGTAAGTAAAAATTTTTTTTCTATACATTTTCTATGATATATATGTCCACATGAAAGTATTGTAAATGATTCGAAATTAACAGATAATACGTATTTTGTTTTCACATAGTTTACATAGTGGCAATTCTGTAACAACAATATCTTGTACCATGTTATGTTTTGTTTCTTTTAAAATATTAAGAGCGAAGTTTTGGAGATTAGTAAGAGACATAATGATATCGGTGAAGTACAGGTAAGTTTTTTATAATTTACTTAGCTTATTTTATAGTGTATCTTTCACGACTAAAAAATAATTTTAGATTCAGATTTGGCGATTTGTTCATTTAAGAATTATTTAGTATGAACCAAAGACCAACTGATTTACTGGCAATTGTGACCGATTTATAAATTAGCAATTTATTAACTGAATAAAAATAGCAATGGCGATTTAATTAATATGATTCTGGTAAAGAAATAGATTAGTAAGTTTTTTATATTTTTTTATACGATTCAAACATGAATTAAACCAATATACTTATCTGTTTATATATGTTAATATGTGTCAGAGATACTAGCTCCGCTATAAAGCTCGATAATTAATTTTACCTTTTATTTTATGCTTTAGAATGGGGCATTTTATATGTATAACTTCTATGCCCGAACTGGATGCAGAAGAATTACCTAAATTACTGTCCAAAGTATCTGAATTGGAAGAAGTATCTGAATTCGTAGAATACATGACCTTATTTTTCTTGCTCTTTTTTTTGAAAATATCATTATTTAATCTTCTGGATAGTGGGGGTACAGGAGGTATGTTACGAAATATTCTATTACGCCTCTTTCGTTGCTTATCATCTTTGCTTCTGAGAGGCAATTTCTTGAACATATCTGTAGCTTCCTCTAGAGCTAGATCGAGCGCTGATTCTATTGAATTGAGTGAGTTATTTTTAGTAGAGCTGGCTTTATAAATTTTTGAGTCACCTATGGGCCTGCTACCTTCTTCGATTAATGGGATGCTCATACCATCTATTACAATTTTAGCATAGTGGACACAGGTTTTGGGAGAATGTCCAAAGCTTATTTTTGCTTCATGCATCCATAACCAATCTTGCCCCAACACCAGATCGAATGATAGATTTTTGTGAATTTGAAAGTCTATTAGTTTAGTATCACCTAAACTCTGCCACTTTCTTTTAATGCGAAACTGTAAATCTAAGCCTTTTATTTCTTCACCTATCAGATCATCACCAACTATACC